GAAAAAGCCATTCCAACACCAGCAGGGTCCTGAACCTCACCATCTGGAATCACACACCTCTGGTCTTTATTGACGAGCGGAATCCCCGTCACCCAGTGGTCTTCGATCTCCTTGAAAATAACCACAACAGCTCAGCAAGCAGCCCAGCACCCTGTAATGACCAGGGCTGCAAAGTGGCCATGAGGCTGGTAAGTGTTCCCAGCGCGCACATCAGACAAGGGGCCTGACCCAGAAAGGCTGGCGGGAGTCTTTTCTTCCATAACTCAGGTCTGACTGGGGAAAGTCAGTGCCTATTGTATATGGTGGCCGGGCTTTTAAAATACAAATAGCTAGCATGTTAGTCAAATCTCTTTTGTTCCCCAGCAATTAGTGTAGTGGCTATGTCGCTGGATTCCCACGTAGCCAACTGCAGTTTGAGTCCCGAACCCGGTGGCTTAAACTCACGCCGGGCACGTGTGCTTGTGTTCCCAAGATTCCAAGAGGAGAATGGAGAAGAAGGGATTGTGGCATAGCCATCCCCCCTGGAGGGTGATTTCTCGCTTTCTGTCTCTCTCTCTGTCTCTGTCTTTCTGGCGAGCACACACACCCTATAGCAAAAACCTCTCAAAAAAAAAAAAAAAAATCCTTTTGGATACAAGTGACCCGGCTTCAAATGACTTCAGAAAAACAGGAAATTCACTGACTCATGTAACCAAGAAGCCCAAGAGTACATTGGATTCAGGTGTGGACGGCTCCAGGTGTTTAAATGCCATCATCAGAGTTCTATCTGCCTCCTCCGTGGTTCAGTTTTTCTCTCGATTGACTGGCTGTCTTCATGCGGGTTGCCCCATCAGTGCCTGGCTCACATCCCCCCAGCTCACAATTCCAGCCCCTTCAAAAGATCTCCTCCCTGTCCGTAGCCCCAGCTGACTCATCAGGGCCCATGTTCATCCCTAAACCAATCCTTGTGGACTAAAGGATGGGCTCTAACGATTGGCCAGTCCTGAGTCATGTGCCTTGGTGGAGTCAGATGTCGGCCTCTGGCAGACCACGTGGACAGGGCGGCGGTGCTTCCCTGAGGGAGGAATGAAGTCATATTACTAAAAGCAGGGCAGGGGCCAGGTGCAGCTGTAAAATGTGACCCTCTGCAAGGCAAGTGGAAGAGTTCTGGGCTCGTGTCCTGAGACCTCCTGAGGGCACTGGCACATGTGGGGCTGGGGGAAGAAGGGCTGCTGTGTCAAACTCCGTTAAGTGCTGTCTCTCTGTCTCTTTTTTTCTCACTTGCGCATGAAAGAAATAGATAAACTTTAAAAAAAAATGGGCAGGGGCAGGCAAATGACATGGTGGGTAAGGGCGCTGGACTCCTGCATGGCCAACTATGGTTCAAGTCCTGGACCTGGTGGCTTGCTTCCTCACTTTCCCTTTCTCTCTCTCTGTCTCTCTCTGATCAAACTGGAAAGTAATAACAACAAAGTTAAATAAAATAATTCTTTGTAAGAAATGGGCATAACTATTGGGCAGGCGAAAAGCCACAGCAGTGCTGTGTGGTCAGATGCCAGGAGATAACTGCTCTGCCCTGGGAGGCTGGATGTTGCTAGTTCTTAGAGCCTGCAGGTGGGAGAGGGCTCCTTGTCTGTCTCAGGATTCCTTGGGGTGCTCTGTCAAAATATAGATCCCTGGACCCCCATTCCTGGCGAATCTGAGTGGGTGGTCCTGGGTCCAGGCCCAGTAATCTATATTGCCACCAGGCTCTCTGCTGATTCTGAGGATTAGCCTTTGATGGGATCCAGGCTGTGGCCTCCACAACCCGGAAGGAGGTGCAGCCTCCGCGCTCACTCATGTGTTCATGACTTCCACAGTCCCCCCACCCCCATTTGCCACACGCACCAGCGTTAGTGAGAAGCTCTGGGCTCCTGTCCGCTCTGAGCCAGTGCCCACCCAGCCGGTCTCAGTGCAATGGCCTGGCCACTTGTGCCTGTTTCCTCATCTGTAAAGCAGGCTCAGCCCTGGTGACTGCTCCAGTGCTCAGTCAGCCCTGTGTGTGTGTGTGTGTGTGCGTGAGTGGGTGGTCCTGGGTCCAGGCCCAGTAATCTATATTGCCACCAGGCTCTCTGCTGATTCTGAGGATTAGCCTTTGATGGGATCCAGGCTGTGGCCTCCACAACCCGGAAGGAGGTGCAGCCTCCGCGCTCACTCATGTGTTCATGACTTCCACAGTCCCCCCACCCCCATTTGCCACACGCACCAGCGTTAGTGAGAAGCTCTGGGCTCCTGTCCGCTCTGAGCCAGTGCCCACCCAGCCGGTCTCAGTGCAATGGCCTGGCCACTTGTGCCTGTTTCCTCATCTGTAAAGCAGGCTCAGCCCTGGTGACTGCTCCAGTGCTCAGTCAGCCCTGTGTGTGTGTGTGTGTGTGCGTGCATCTGTATGTGTGCATGCATGCATCTCTGCATGTGCACAGGTGAGTGTGCATGTGTACATGTGCACGTGTGTGTGGTCAGGAGAGGTCTGCAGCCGTTACACCCTCCTTAACATCTTTGGGCCTCAGTTTCTTCACGGGGATGGTGATAGTGAAGATAGCTACCGCAGAGCGTTGCTGTGGGAGGTGAATGGGGTAGAGTGGAGTTCTAGGCTCGTGTCCTGGGAACAGCCTCGGACAGACTGAGGGTTGAGCATCACCATCACCTCCCCCAGGAGGCCCTCCAGAAATGGCCCTGGGGAGGCGATCTGAAAACATGAGGGAAGCTTCCCTGACCTCCTGGGTGCGGAAGGAAGGCCCCCTGTCAAGGCCCGTGGAGGCAGAGTGGCCGAGGCCAGAGCTGCAGGGCCAGGTCCATCCCATGTCTGTGGGTGGCCCGGACTTGGACAGGCTGCTGTGGAGGTAGAAGCGGAACTCTGTACCCCTTAGGCTGTGCAACTCCAGGGCCCCATTCAGCCTCCACGGGGCTGCACCGGGAAGTCTTGGGAAGCATCTGGGAAAGGAGTCAGGAGGTCAGAAGGGTTCAAGTATGTGTATGAGTGTGCTTGAGCGGCCACCTAAGTACACGTGTGAGGCCACTTGTGTGAATCTAGGTGACATGGGGCTGGGGCTAGTATGGGTATGTGTTTGCAAAGCTGTGACAATGCCATCATGTGGCTGTGGAAGCCAGAGAGTGGGCGTCTATACTTGTGACCGAGAGTGTTCGCTTCTCACAACAGCACGTGGGGACGGGGCTGGTGTGCGTGTGGGAGTCCTTGTGTAAGCAGTGGCCCTGAGCACATGTGAGCGTGGGTGTGAACAGCGTCCTGCCACCAAAGTGCAGCCAGTGTGGCTGGCAGAACACTGCCCCTGCCCTGCTGGGGCCCCCTGGACTGAGGCTGGGCCCTGCAGGCAAACCCGCCCCTCAGGAGCCCCTTTTGGCCTTTGCAGTGCAGCGCCAACGGGACCGTGTGCACCTTCCGGAACTTCACCAGCGCCACCCAGGCCGTGACTGAGTGGTACATCCTGCAGGCCACCAACATCTTTGCGCAGGTGCCTCTCCAGGAGCTGAAGAAGATGAGCTACTCCGGAGAGCAGCTGATCCTGGCCTGCCTGTTCGGGGCTGAGCCCTGCAGCTACAGGTGAGAGCCATCCCCACCTGCCTGCCCAGCCAGTGCCCTGCCCAGAAAGGCAGAGGAGTGCCATAGGCAGGAACCCAACCTATCAGGGTTCAAATCCCGCTCAGCCACTTATCTGCTGCCTGGATGACAGTTCTCTGTGTCTTGGTGTCCGGAATGCACTGAGAGGACTCACGGTGCAATCAGGGAATCTTTCTAGGAAAAGTCTTCAAGGAATGCAGGAGGGAGGAGGAGAAAGCTGGGCCAGAGGGTGGCACAGCTGTGACACAGGGTTCTACAACATTGGCCCTCACTGGTCCCGGTTCTTCCTGAGGCCTGCCCGGGCACACAGTGCGCGTGTGTGCCCATGATCTAGACTGGCTAGGAGCAGGGGTGATCAGACATGGGGACTCAGACGGGGGCGCCTATATCTGTCTCTCTCGTGGAGGAAGTAAATAAACTTAAAAAATAAACTTTTTCAAAATGAATTTTTTAAAAAGGAAATAAACTCATTTGTTTAAAATAAATAAACAAACTTTTTAAACTTTTTAAAAAGGAAGGAGGCCAGCCCATTGCCATGGTGGTTAAGGCAACTGGATCCCACATGGCCAATTATATGGTTCAAATTCCAGATCCAGCAACTTGAAAAACATGCCAGATTGGGGACCAGCAGGTGGCATGATGGTTAAGGTGCTGGATAGTCCCACATGGCTGACCATGGTTCAAGTCCTGGACCTGGTGGCTTGTTTTCTCACTTTCCGTTTCTCTCTCTCTCTCTAGTCAAATTAAAATGAGTGAAAAAATAAAATTAAATAAATATTAAAAAAAAGAAAGAAAGAAAGAAAAGCATACCAGGCACATGTGTGTGCATGCCCAAATTTCTGAGAAGAGAATGGAGAAGAGATTGCAGTGTGGCCAACCCCCCCGCCCAGGGGTGATTTCTCACTTTTCACTTTCCGTCTCTTTATTTATTTATTTATATTAATTTGACCGGAGAGGGACAGAGTAAGAGAGAAAGTGAGAAAGCAAGTCCGGGACTTGAACCGTGGTCAGGCATGTGGGAGTCCAGTGCTCTTAACCACCACGTCACCTGCCAGCCCGGAGAAATAAGCTTTTTATTGTGGAATAATCTGAGGTTTACAGAAAAGTCACGAAGTCAGGACACAGAGCTCCCTCTGTTGTCGGGCCCTTCCATCAGCACCGCGACTTGTCCAAAGTAAGAAACCCGCAGGGCACAGCCCGGGACTGTTCCTAAACCCAACACTTACTCGGATTCCAGCCCTTTTCCCAGTGACCTTTCTGGTCTGAGGATCCCATCCAGGAGACCCCGTGTGCTTGGCACTCACGTCTCCAAAGTCTCCGTGGAGATTTTTCAGACATCTGTGTTCTGCATCATCTAGATGTTTTGGGGGTACTGCTCAGGCATTTTAGAGAAAGTCCTCCACTTGGGTTTATCTGTTTTTTTCAACTGGGATTATAGGTTTAAGGGGAAAATGACACAGAGAGGAGGTGTCCTCCTCACCGCATAAGAGGGCATGCGACAGCCAGGTGACACGATTCGTCATGCCAGCCTTCCTCCTCATTTTAACGTGCTGTCTGTGCTGTTGTGAAATACCCACTTTCCCTGCTCTGAACCTGGGGGTGAGTTACTAAGTCCAGCCTGCACTCTGGGGAGGGCCCGGGAGTGGGGAAGGGACTCCAGGTTCCGCCCCTCCGGGAGAGAGGGCTGCTGTCTCTGATATCTGGGGTTCTTCTGTCAGGAAGATTGCCACTTCTCTTCCGTTTATTTATGTACTCGATCGTTTATTTATACCGCACAGACTCCTGTATACTTGGGCTATCATCCAATACCACATTACTGATTTTCTTGCTTAAGTTCTTCCAGCTCTGGCTAACTGGAAGACCAGTTAGTGCCCGTGTCTCTTTAATGCAGCCCATCCTTTTGTCTTTTGGCCCCAAGTGCTTCTTCACTGACACCATGAGATGCCCTAGCCCCGGCAGCCCTATGATGAAGAAGCTTTGGTTCCTTTTGTTGGAGAATGATATTTAGAAAGCAAGATCTGGGCATATGAACCAGAAGGGGTGCTGCTATTTCGGGGACTGGCCAGTTAGTCTCTGCCCTGGGAAGCCTTCCCTGACCCCCTACCACACAGTACCGCTGCTGTTACACTGCGTCCTGCTAGGATGTTCTATTTCCCGGGCTTTTCTGGAGGCTTGTCTCAGCATGCTGCCCCTTATCCCAGGAAAGGTTTTGGGAGGGAAACGCCCGGCTTTGGGAGCCTAAGGCAGCCGGTGCTGGGAGCAGCCTCCCTGGGTGAAGAGCACTATCAACAAGCACAGAGTTGGCACACCCTGGGAGACCAAGAGCTTGGCCCTGCGGGAGGGCACCTGGCCACACCCAAGCAGCCTCCCGCTCCCGGGCTGCATCTGCCTGAAGCAGGTCCTTGGGAACACGGTGTCCCTGTACCCTGGGGTGAGGTCTCCCCTCAAGAGCCGGGCCTGGCTTTAGCTGGTTTGCTCTGCTCTGTTCCCTCCCTGTGGCCACAGCCCTGATCCCACACGTGTCTGCGCCTGAGCCGGAGCAGCTGTTCCCAGCTTAGCCCTCCAGGCCTTCCCCTGTGGGGAGCCCTCTGCCTGCTGTTTCTCCTCCCCGCCCTCCAGACTTAGCGCCCCCCTCCTCATCCTTCAAGTCTCGGCTCAGGCCTGACCACCTCGGAGAAACCTTCACTGACCCGCTGTCCCCCCCCACCCCGCAGGAATTAGGTGGCACTCCCCCTTATCTCCCGCCGGTGCCTTTATCACACGTCCTAGTTTATTCAACAAATATTTACTGTCAGTGTTCAGCGTGCCAGCTCGGGGGACAGCAACCAACAGTAGCCGCCAACATTTTTGGAGAATTACAGTATGTCAGGCATCCAGCCCTCGCCTCAGTCCCATAGGGTGGATACCGTGGCCATCCCACTGTTACTGGTGGAGGAGGTGCAGCACAGAGAGGTGAGGTAACATCCCCAAACTCACCAGCCAGTCAGCCACAGAGCCAGAAGTCAAATTCAGGAAGGCCAGAGCCCCTCGCCCCCATCCCAAACCTGGCTCTGAACCTCTGAGCTCCTCTTTTCCAGACAAGACTGTGCGTCTGCTGGCTTAAGTTCAAAAGCAGGAGGTAGCTGGTCGACAAGCCAGTCAAGCTGCTTTGCAATTCTTTTTTTATTAAAGAGATTTTTGCTTTAGGATGTGTGCACTTGCTAGAGAGGGACAGAGATAAGTGAGAGGGAAAGTGAGAATCACCCCCTGAGGAGATGGCCACGCCACAATTCCTTCTCCTCCATTCTCCTTCCGGGATCTTGGGCACGCACACACCTGCCCAGTATGATTTTCAAGACACTGGATCCAGGACTCAAACTGCGGTTGGCCATGTGGGAGCCCAGAGACATAATCACTACTCCATCTGCTAGCTCCAATTTCAGATTCTGGTGCAAAGGGAATGACCCGGTGGAAATAGTAGAGTAACTAGGTAGGGAAGCAACTTTGCATGTGGGGAGGAGAGGGACTCGAGAGGTCTCAGAGCAGATGAAACTTTCGGGATGAGGAATAGCCAGGTATTTGAAGAGCTGGTTAGAGAACATTCCAGGCACAAAGAACAAAGGGTGCAAAGAGCTGGAGTCTGGAAAGATCTTGAAGTGTCCCTGACTGCAGTGAACAGGGGGAGAGGCCACGGTGGGGAGTTTACATTGTATTCTGTGAGTAACAGGAGCCTCTGGAGAGGCTAGGCAGGGTGTGCCACACTCTGACTCATGAGTTTACACGATCTCCTTTGCATGAAGAGCATACGGGAACAGGAATTGGGGTTAGACTCTGCAGGATCCCAGGCATAGGGTGCTGGTGGCTTGGACCAGAGATGAGAGGTAGACAGGCTTGAATCACATTTTTTTTTGTTTTTGTTTTTATGGTTAAGCATACTATTTTGGGGGAACAATGATTTCTTTATTTAATTTTATTTATCATTATTATTTATTTTAAAAATTTGACCAGAGAGAGCCAGAGAGAGAAAGGGAAAGTGAGAAAGCAAACCTTCAGGCCCAGGACTCGAACTGGAGGGTTGGCCATGCAGGAGTCCAGTGCCTTAACCATGACACCTGCCAGCCCCAACTATATTATTTGACATTCAAATGGGTTTATTGGGGGTATAAAATAAATTTTTTGATGTTCCATTAAAATAAATGTTTTATCAACAATTTTTTCTTAATTCTTAATACTTTTAAAATTTACATTTAATCACTGTACATCTTTATGGTGGGTTTTTTTAAGCTTATTGATTTGTTTCTTCCATGAGTAAGACAGAAATAGAATGGAGTCCTCGAACCCACAACCTCCTATGTGGGGCACCCTTGCAGAGCCTTGTATTTTACCTCTGAGCCACCATCTGGCCTCTAGAGTCACATTTCAGAAGGAAAGAACAGAAGGAAAAAGAGCCTGCTCTGTGTCCCCCACCAGGCTGTGGACTGCACGGGAAGCCCAGCCTTGTTCTCCTTGTGTCTGTATGCAGCGTCACCTGGATCAACACTGGTTGGGTGAAGAATGTGGTTTCTCCAGGTCCTCTTTCACATCGAGGAAACCACAGCCCCAAGGCTGAGTAAGCGGGTCCAGCACTCAGGCCGTGGCAGGGTCAGGCCAGCTCCCCTGTCGGATCCCAGCCTGCAGAGCCTACCTCATTCTGCTAGTCCAGAGGGTGAGATGAAAGAGATGTAAAAACATGGGGCAGTAACTCGACCTCATGGCACGATGCTGAGGATTCGATGAGATAAAATAGGCAGAAGTGTCCACCATGGGCCTGGCCCATGGAGTTGCTCAGTAAATGTTTGTTGCAGAATGTAAGGCATAAAAGGCCGTTCGGAGCCCAGCTGGAGCAGCGCAAGTGGGAGCACCACTGTGGTGTGGAGAGGCCTGGGGTTCTGTTTTGGACCCACCCTAAACAGGCCAAATGTGGTAGTGTGTACTATTATCCTGGCTAACTTGGATGCCAGGGCAGGAAGACTGAGACACGGCAAGAGCTTTTGAGATGACCTCTCTCTCATTCTCTCTACCCTTGTGTACATTCTCATATAGATATGTAATACACACACACATTTCATACTATATAATATAGATATAGATATAAATTTGTAAGGCAGTTCTGCATGTCAGTGGCTTTTTTTGTGCATCGTTCAATGCACTTACTCCCATTCCTTCCTGTTTTTAATAATTCTGAAAGAATAATAAGATATCAAAGGTTTTTTTGTTTTGTTTTGTTTTGTTTAGAGAAATTTTTACCATAGGGCACATGCACTTGACCGAAAGACAGAGACAGAGGGATAGAAACTGAGAAATCTCCCCCTAGGAGAATGGTCACACCACAATCCTGTCTCTTCCATCTTCCTCTCAGGATTTTGGGTATGCATGCACATGTGCCCAGTGTGAGTTTCAAGCCACTGGGTCTGGGACTTGACCCAGGGTCAGCCATGACGGAGTCCAGCACCTTAATGACTATGCCACTTGCTGGCCCCTCAAAAGGTATTTTTAAGCTCCTCATTATGGAGACTTGAGAACAGATGCATAAGCAGTTTGATGAACTCACATCGAACGTCCTGGGATCTGCCGACTAAGGTTGGCTTCTCCTGCTGGGCTGTTCTGCCGCAAACTCCAGATGTGTGGCCCTTCATCTGAACAATTCAGAAGGTACCTGTGAAAGAGGAAGACTCTTTAAACATAACCACAGTTCACTACCCTAGTCCTCCCAAACTGACGGTAATTCCTTAATATCAGCTCTCCGGTTATGTTCACACTCATAAATGTTATACTTTGTTTGAATCAGGATTCAATTGATTCACACACGCTCAAGATCTTTTTAAGTTTCTTTCTTTTTTCCATGAGCCAGAAAGAGAGACAGATACATTCACCCCCAACAGGGTCGCCATGCAGTGATCTACCCCAATCCTAGCCAGCCCAGCTTCCCAGCACACCTGTACCCAGAATGTTCAGGGACATCTCTAGACACGAACCTAGACCCTTCCATGTGGGTCAGCCTCGCAGTGCTGTGTTATCATTGTGCCATAATCCAGCCACTATCTGAGTCTTTTAAATGTCTTGTAATCGATAGTTTACCTCCCTCTCCCTCTCGCACAATTTATTTGTTGAAGAAATTGAGTTATTTATCCTGTCAAGTTTCCTGTGGGCTGGAGTTCACTGTGGTGTCGTTTAACTTGTTCCTCTGTCTCCAGCATTTCCTAATGGTAGCTAGAGACACAGTCTAGGAGCCTGAATAGGGCTCTTACCCTTATTTGGAGTTCTTTTCTCTGATTCACCCCCTTCTCCGACCCTCCGTCTCAGTCCACTTCCCGGGTTGCCCAGCCGCCTTTCCAGATCTGCCAGCTCCTTTGAGCAAACACATCTGGCAAGGTCCTTTTCTCTATATTATGTATTAGCTCCCTGTGGCTGCTGTAACAAATGACCACAAACTGCGTAGCTCAAAATAATAGGAATTTATTCTCTCACACAAGAGCCCAGAAGTCCAAAATCAAAGTGTTGGCAGAACTGGGCACCCTCAGAGGCTCAAAGGAGGGAGCCTTCAGCAACAGTGGGCCCAGGTATTCCTTGGCTTGTGCCTGCTCGTCTTCGCATGGATCTCTCTGTATCTGTGTCTTCTCTTCTGCCTCTTATAAGGACACTTGTCATTGGATGTAGGACCACCCAGGGAACCTAAGATGATCTTCATTACATCTGCCAAGACCCTTTCTCCAAGTAAGGGGACATTTACAGGTCCCTGGGATTAGGCCGTGGGCATGTCTTTGGGGGATCATACATGAGGACAGGTGAAAATGTCTAAGAAAGTTCTTTTATAACTAGTGGCAAAACTAGTGAGCCTGATCCCCAGCCTCAGAGAGACTCCTTTCCCCCATTTCCCAAGGGAGTCTGAGAATCTCCTCTCTTGGTCCTGAGAGGGGATGGACAGAATGACCCATTGCTCACTGTCCCTCCCTGAGCCTGCTCCCATCTGCAGCGAAGCCTGGATGGCAGGTAGGGGAGGAGGCGGGGCCTGCCCTCCAACTGATGGTGTCTCCTGCAGGAACTTCACATCCATCTTCTACCCTGACTACGGCAACTGTTACATCTTCAACTGGGGCATGACGGAGAAGGCACTCCCTTCGGCAAACCCCGGAACCGAATTCGGTGAGTCCTGGTTGTCCTGAGGCCAGAGTCATACGGGGATGCTGTGAGGTGGTCCTGGGGTTCGTGGCCATCACAGAGCCTCTCCCATGGCGGGCAAAGGCCAGGCAGGGGCCTGCTCAGTCATCCCCTCTCCCAGTGCTCACAGTCGCTGGGGAAAGGCTCCGTGTTCCCATTCTGCTGAGGAGCAAAGTGGGATTCGGAAGCAGCACAGGTTAAGAGCTCAAGCGGCCGCGTCAGGTCAATCCCAGCTCTGTCACTTACTCGCTGGGTGATCCTGAGCACAAAACTTGACTTCCCCGACCCCGAGTCCTCCCCCTCCCCGCCACCAAAGAGCACAGAGTACGAGCATGGCCCAGCACGGTCCAGCATGGCCCATGTGGGCAGAACCGGCCTCGTGAGCCATCGGGACATCAGGCCGTGGTGCTTCTCCATCCCGGAAGTAGTAAATGCTCTGTCCTGCTGGTTCTTCCGAGAAGCTTTCAACAACCTGCCCAAGATCAGTTAATCCACAAGCAGAGCTCCTGACCTTAGCCTCTCCGCTGCCCAGTTCTTATAGAGTCACGGAGACAGGGAAAAAAACCACAGGGTAAATAGACTGAGGACGTGGGCCTGGCTGCCGACAGACTCCTTCCCATGAGGCTGGTGCGCTGACCTGTCTCCTTGAGAAAGGCTGGTGTCTCTTGGGCTTCAGAGCTGAGCAAGGGGGGGACGAATCCTTCCTCCTACCACTCAGGTTCTGACCTCCCCCACCAGGAGTCAGGTTGTCATTCAGTGACGACCAGGACTGCTGTCCAGGAGGGGACAGGTAGGCTGTTGACACTTGGCACAGCCCCTGTGCTCCTGAGAGCCCGTCACAGAGACATAGGTCACTGCACTGGGCAGAGCAGAGGGTCACAGCCAGGGGCCAGCCGACTGCGTTAGACCCCCAGCAACACCACCTCCTCGCGGAGTGACCTCGGAGAGGTACCTTTGCCTCTCTGTGCCTCAGTTTCCCTACCTGTAAGATGGGCATGATAACAGTGCCTACTGTATGTGGCCCCATGAGCATCCAGTGAGATCATGTCCTATAATATAATGCTCTTGGGGCCAGCGGGTAGTGTGGTGGTTGAGGCACTGGACTCCCCACGTGACTGATCGTGGTTCGAGTCCCAGACCCAGCAGCCTGAAACTCAGACCGGGTGGGTGTGCATGTGTGCCCAAGATCCTGGAAGGAGATAAGGGATTGCAGCGGCATGACCATCCCCCGCTGGGGAGGTGATTTCTCACTTTCCATCTCCCTGTCTCTGTCTCTCTCTCTCTCTGGCAAGTGCACACTCCCTAAGGCATAAATTTCTCTAAAAAATACACATACAGAACCAGCCATCCACACACACACATATAGTTCTTAGCACCGACTCAGCTTGTTGGGGGGTTCAGTAAACAATAGCCCTTTTGTCCTAAGCAGAAGGAGGTGGTGCTCGCCTGACTTAGGACTGCGGTTGGGCATCAAGTGCTGGGTCTGGCCCTGTCCTCAAGACGGGGACAGCGAGTGGGGAGGGAAGACAGGCAATGAAAGAAGAACCACACAGGTGTGGAACAAAGACCCTGAGGCCCAGTCTAGGCACTCAGGGAAGGCTTCCAGAGGAAGTGACGCTTGGCTGAGAGCTGAAGGGTAAAGGTAGGGACAGCAGTCCAGAGTGAGGGGACAGCAGAGGCAGCCACAGCAGGAGGGGGCTCAGAAGCTCAGAGGGCCTGAGTGGAGAGAATGAGGGCAGTGTGGGGGACCCTGCTATGTCTCCCAGACCTGCTTGCTCTGTGGAAAAGAGATGGGGGCATGCCAAGGGGAGCCTGGGGAGGAGATGATGGGAGCTTTGGAGAAGACAAGCCATACTGGGGCCTGAGCATTCGCCAAGTTGGGCTGGCTTCCTGGGCAGGTGCCTGCCGTCCCCTGAGTTGGAGGGAGCCTGGAATGGGTGGGTCTCCCCTCAGCTGTAGGGAGTGAGTTCAGGCAGCCTCAACCCACCTTCCCCCCAGGCCTGAAGCTGATCCTGGACATAGGCCAGGAGGACTACGTCCCCTTCCTCACCCCCACGGCCGGGGCCCGGCTGATGCTTCACGAGCAGAGGTCTTACCCCTTCATCAAGGAGGAGGGCATCTACGCCATGGCAGGGGCAGAGACGTCCATCGGCGTGCTGGTGGTATGGACGGAGCCCTGGGGGGTCTGAGGGTGGAAGCCCACCTGTCCGGGGCCGACTCCAGTAGCCTGAGAGACCAGACTCTGGCCCTGTCCCCTGGTCTGAGCACATTCCCCTCCCCGGAGCCTGGAGCAAGTGAGCCCTCTGGTGCCCCCTCTGGTAGCTGCTGGGCCTACAGCTCTCCTTTCCCATTTGGCATCTCCTGTCCCTCAAGCACTTGATGGGAGGGAAGGACTCCTAGGGGTGACCATGAGCAACCCCTTTGGTCACAGGACAAGCTGCAGCGCAAGGGCGAACCCTACAGCCAGTGCACGGTGAATGGCTCTGATGTCCCCGTCAAAAACTTCTACAGTGCCTACAACACGACCTACTCCATTCAGGTGGGAAAGATGGTGCAGGCCTCGGGACCCTGGAGTCCCATGATGTCCAGTGGCTGCAGGCCTTCGATCTCTGGGAGGGCTGCCCCTGGCAAGGCTGGCTCTGCTGTGTTTTTTTTGTTGTTGTTGGGAGCCATGGGGCACCCTTGGGGTTATGGGATCAGTACAGTTGGGCTCTGCCCAGGGCTGAGGGCTAGCCACTTCTTAGCCACTTGGGGAGGCAGGCATGCTCTTGTTCACTCAGGATCATGGGGTTCTCACTCTGGGGTCTCTCAGGAAGAAAACAAAAAACAACAGGTAACATGGAGTCCTCACCGTGTGTGACCGGCTGCACTAAGGACATGCGTGCATTCTGTCACCAACTGGTCCCGGCAGTGCTAAGACATTTATTAATACAGTAATAGCAGCTGGTTCATCGTGGGCCAGGTAGGCACTCTTAGAAACATACGAAATCACTTAGCCCTTACAACAGCCCTAAGATGTAGATAGTTATTCCTGTATCAGGAGTGAGGAAACTGGATTTACAGACCCCATTTATCTGGGAAGTGCAACTTGTATCTGGCCTCAATCTCTCCTGCTGTAACCGGGGACTTCCCTCTCATCCTGACCTTCAGGGTCAGTCCAGCCCCCACGGGAGAGAGGAGACGAGATCCTTGCAGAGATGATGAAAATGAGCACTTCCTCTCCCAATCCAGCTGGCTTTGGCAGACAAGGAAACTGAGGCGTAGCAGGGGTCAGCGCAGCTGCCTCAGTGTCTGGAAACCCCAAGCTTTGAGTCAGTTTCCCTTTTGCCTTAGTCACAGGAAATTGACCATCCTGCCTCCAGCTGCCTCACTCCACGTTCTGCCCAGGCTGGTTTGGCCACCTTCTGTCTGGAGGGGCTTCTGTATGCCAAGGAGAACTCTGGGAATCTTCCAAGCTTCTAGAGGGACAGACAGATGGAGTAGCACAGGGAGATGGGGAAATTGGGGAAGGAAGCCCCAGCCCTGAGACCTCATTCTGGGAAAATCAGCTCTTGCTTGTTTCAGGACAAATGCTGCTCAGGGCAGACAGCTGAGCAAAGGGCAGGCACTGGTCAGGAGCTCTGCCCACCCTTGCCCACCTCCAGCCAGGAGCAGGCCGAGACCCACCCATCCTAGCCCAGTCCCAGTCCCGGTCCCATTCCCAGGGGCTTTCTGGATAAGACAACCAGGTCTGAAAGGACACAAGATACTTGCTCCAAGACAGAGCCTCCTGTCTGACCATCCCACTGCCTCCCAGGCCCCAGATCCAGCTTCCCCTGGTGCTGCCATTCAATCTGTCAGCCAGGCCCTATTCCCCACCATGGGAAGCCCAACGGAAGGCAGCACGTGCTCCCAGAAAGGAGCAGGAGAGCCTGCAGGGAACCTTGTGGAGGGGCGAGGCTGTCCCCGGCTGGAGGAGATCTGCGTGGGTTGGAGAGAAGCGTCTGGGGCTTGGAAAAGGACAGGCCAAGAAACCTGAATAGCAGCTGCCCTCATTCCTCTGGAGCCTGCAGGTGCCAGATGCTGGACCAAGTCCTCTGACCTTAGGAGGCCGGTGCAGGGAGCGCCTTGTTTCACTATGAGTAAACTGAGGCTCAGGGTTACTAACTTGCCCTGGGACACATAGTTGGCCTCTGAGTGGACTGAAACCAGGTTGGGATGACCTGAAAATCTAGTATATAGGGCCACAAGAGTGGGGATTCATCACAGCCATTCCCCCAGGGTGCCTAGGGCCCCTTTATCCCCCATCGTTGGGGGACAGTCTACAGACCAGCGGGCCTCCTTCATCATCCGCTGGATGCAAAGATTTTTCCTCTTGCTCTTTCTGGGGGATGCCCTCCAGGAGGAGGGCCCACAGAGCAAGTGTACCCATCTTACTCGGGGTGCCTTTCTTTCTTTTTTTTGGGGGGGAGAGGTTTTTGCTATAGGGCGTGTGTGCTCGCCAGACAGACAGAGAGAGACAGAGAGTTTTTTTTCGCATCCATTCTCCTCTCGGGATCTTGGGCACGCACGCACACACGCCCTGCGTGAGTTTAAGCCACCGAGTCCGGGACTCGAACTGCAGTCGACTACGTGGGAGTCCAGCAACACTGCCGGTCCCGGTGGTGCCTTTCTTGACATATATGAACAGATCTCAGAAAGTTGGTGAAAAGTAGAATTAAACTACCAGTTCATTTTGGTGCAAACAACCTTGAAACCCATAGTTTTTTCATAGTAGGCATTTTCTGTGAATTTTTGAAGACCCAGTGTATATAAAGAGCTTAGGCAGGTGCTGTATCCCTCTGGGAGCCATCTAAGGGTGAGTTTTATTTTGGGGGGGCAAGCTAGCCCTCCCTATGTCGTTTGAGAGGCTCCAACTCTGTGTGGTGAGGCCTGGGATACTGGGTCTGGCCGAGTCCCTCTTCCAAGGACCTGCCACGAAGCCCGAGAAAGGCAGCCGTGCCCTGATTGTGGGGTCTATAACCACAGCTTGGTCACCTGACCTCGCTTCTCAGCTGAAGGGTCTCCTCTGTTGCCCTGCCCCCCAGGTCCCTTGGCCTGGTTATGGACTTCTCCAGGCCCCTCCCCACAATGGCTGTGTGCTCACCCCACCCCCAGGCCTGTCTTCACTCCTGCTTCCAAGACCACATGATCCGTAACTGCAGCTGTGGCCACTACCTGTACCCACTGCCCCACGGGCAGAAATACTGCAACAACCAGGACTTCCCAGACTGGGGTGAGTGGGGCTCCATGGGTGTGGGCATCCTCGCCGGCCAGGGCCTCTGGCCACAGAGGAGGAGCTGGAGCTCAGTGGCTTCAGCAGGGCTCGGGTGCCCAGGACAGCTCCTCCACTGCCCACGGTCCCTCCTGCAAGCCCCTCCCAGCCCCCGTTTCCTCTGCAGGGACCAGGCCCCTCTCTGCTCTGCAATTCCATGAAATGCGTACTTGAAACACATAGGTGTGGGAGTGAATCTGTCCTTGTGGGCATGTCTGTGTACACATCCACACCTGCACGTGTGTGAGCCTGGGCGTGAGCCTGCTGGCGAGTGGTCATGTGTGACGTGTGTGCATGCTGTGAAAGTGTGTTTTTGTGTTTGTGTCTAAGTGCTTGGAGGCACTCTGTGTCTATAGCGTGTTCAGGCGCAGGCACGGATTACTGTGTGTGTGACCTCTGTCCTTTTTTAAAGTCTCCGAGTTGCGATCCTCCTGCCTTAGCCTCCTGAGTAGCTGAGACTACAGGCATGTGCCACTGTACCCAGCTATTTTAGTGTGGGCCGGGAATTGAACCCGGGCCTTCCATGTATCTCAGTCTGCTGAGCACATAGTACATGACCGGGCCCCCTCTGGCTTTTGGGCATGCCTGTGTGTGCCTGCATGCCCAAGGCCATGTGTCTGTCCTCTGCGTGTGTGTCCATGTCTGTGTGGCCCATCGGCGTCTGAGGGGTACCAGAGTGAGGGGAGAGAGAAGAAGCCACTTGCATGATGGTGGCCTTCAAGAG